AGGGGCAGCGTCCGTCGTAGGGGGCACGGATCAAAGGGTGGCTGTAGAGGGGCGAGGAAGGCGGAGGAGGAGGAGGAGGAGGAGGAGGAGGTCACGGGGAAGTCTAGTCTGCAAAGAGGGACTGTAAATACCTGTAAATACAGCGCCACCTAGTGCCCGCCCTCTGAGTGCCTGACCTGCTCCTCAGTGATCCTTGTGGAGGGAGCGTTGATGCCCAGCTCCTTCAGAGGGTAGACGATCTGTCGACGGGGGCGGACGGGGACAGCCCGGTCCAGGAGCAGCTCCAGACTGGAGGAGGACTTCACAACAGAAGAATTAAGTCCAGCCTCGCAGCCCGGTGCCTGCTCCCCCTGCTGGTAGAGTCTATGGTAAAGGCAGGAGCGCTTAGCAAGCCGCAGCGTCTCCTTCAGGAGGTGCCTGCTCCGGTGTTGGAGGAGGGGTCGAAGGGTGAAGTGGAGGAGGTGGGCGTGTTCATCAGGGCGGTGGTGGCTGAAGTAGATGAAGTTTTCGATGTTGTAGTGAGCGCGCACGAACTCCACGTTCTGTAAGACACAGCGTCAGGACTGTTTGTACCAGGGGAGGACCAGGGGAGCTGCTGGTTTCAGTTTCCTCACCTCCTCGTCCCTGAGAATCAGGGCCCCCACCAACTGAGAGTCCACCTGAGCCACGAAGGCCTGCCGCTGCACGCCCTCCTGTGGAGGAAGACGACATTGCAGCCCAGGGTGAATTCTCTGACAGAACTCCACTGATCGCTTTCCTGGAAACAGTCTGTGTCTCTGAGGGAGGGGGAGGGGGAGGGGGTGAGGGGAGGTGAGGCAGCCCCCACCTTTAAGACACTGAGCTAAAATTGAAATTGTATCTCAGTGTTCCTTGAATGGCTCCACCTACAGGTCAGAGGTTCAACTTTAACAGATAAACATTTATGTTTAACGGTGAGAGAAATGTTCTAAAGGATAGCCAACGCTAGTGCTAACCAGATGAACAGAGTCCAGATGTGCTCACAGACAGACAGATGGGTGCAGACTCACCAGATCACCGTGGTTCTGGAAGACGGCGTCCAGGTCCTGGAGCAGAGATTCACTGGTTTCCTGACCCTGGACCAGATCACAGACGGCGGGTCGGTCTTCAGGTACGGCTGCTCGGACCTGGACGGGCCTGAGACCAGAAACACGGGGTTCTGATGACCACGACATGAACAACGAGGACAGTGAGCAGCTGCTCTGACCGTACAGACGTGGACCGCCCACCTGAGGCCGACGCGGTGGAAGACGTAGAGTTGGTAGAGCAGCGAACAGTCGGGTCGACGCCGCGCTCTGAAGAAACTCTGCAGCAGAGAAAAGTCCGGAGACAGAGTCGGAGCAGTGATGACGCAGAAGTCCAGATCCTGAGAGACAGGAAGTGGAGTCAACATCACTGAGTCGCTCAGTGGGTGGGTCAGGGGGCGGAGTTTGAACAGAGCCGTAATACTCACAGGAAATAGTTGAAAAACATATGGAAGAAGATCCACGGATCTGAAGGAGAAGAAGGAGGAGGAGGAGGAGGAGGAGGAGGAGGAGGGGGAGGAAGAGGTGGAGGAGGAGGAGGAGGAGAGGTCATTTTCAGGCTGTTTCCTCCTGATCAGCAAACTCTGAGCTTCATAACAACAACAACAACAACATCCTGGAGCCACAGCCCAGTTCTACCAGCAGGGGGCCTGGATTAGTAACATCAGCTAACAGTTAGCAGGTTAACTTTCACTTAGTTGTCGTTAATCAAACATCAGTCAGACCACGGTGTTCCACAGGGTTAAATACAGTTTACTTTTCCTCCACTC